GCAGCAGGGGTGAGAAGAGGGAGAGAGGGGCGGGGACGGATTGATGCTTATTGTATGAACTTAGAGTAGATGGAGACACTCAAGCTGATGCAAAAACATGTTCTAGAACTCATACTAAGATCAATTCGAAAAACAAAAGCAAAGCTATACATTCTCCTGCATAAGCGTCTGTATGCAAGTCGGCCTGAAAAACTCTCAAGAGAGCATGCACACAGCTAAGAAGATGAAAGGACTCTTGAGCACCATGATTACGCTCCCTTCTGAACTATTAAAACAAAAATTAAAGAACTTTCATAAACAATTAGACGACTAAAATAAGATAGCGATAGTGACAGAGGACACATGAAGGGAAGAAGACACTACAAACACACTCAAGCAGTTTACAACACAAACGAAAGCATCCGAGCCTGACAAAAGGTGGCCGGGCCCCACATCTCTCCTCCGCAGTTGGCCTGGAGCTGCCCCTGTGAACGAAGAGTCCTGCAGAGGAGCGTGGGCGCAGGGATGTAACAGGAAATACAAGGGGAACAGCAGATCCTGAGCCAGGCCGGGCCATGCACACACTGCCGGATCTTGCAACCACGCCAGAGTAAACATGTGCATTCTACAGCCACAAATCCTTTGCTTGCTGGGAGAACTGCTCTTTTATGTTTCTATAGAGGGCGGCGTATCATTATTATATCATTTTCTCCTGAGTTAACACACGGTTCTCCATGCTGTCTTTAGAGTGAGATATACATTTTCTGTCTTCTTTTTTTCTGTTCTTGATTTTTGAGAACGGATCTTCCGTCTGTTCTGCCCATGGCCTGGAGTGCAGTGTGGATCATCAGCTCACTGCAAGCATCCGCCTTGGGCCAGGTCTTTGACGGCCATTTCTCCTGCCTCGCCTCCCGAGTAGCGGGACCTACAAGGTCCCAACCGTTGCCTGATCGGCCGGGCCCGCTAGTTTATTTTTCTTGTAAATTTGTTTTAGTAACAGGAGACGGGCGGCGCGCTTTCCGTGTATCCAGGGTTGTCCTGATCTCCTGACCTCGTGATCCCGCGCCATCTCCCGCCTCCCAACAGGGCTGCGTGGGGATCACAGGTTTGAGCCACCGCGTCCGCCCATTTTTCTTCTCTTAAGGATAGTTTATTTTCTTTTCTCATTATGAGGTCCATAGACTATTACAGATGTCTGAGACCAAATAGCTTGTGAATCTTAGAGCCTTTACGTATTGCTTATCCTCTTTGTGTCCCTAAACCTTATATCGTGGGCCTGGCCCCTTGTGGGTGCTCAGTAAATATTTGTTGAATGACTTTATGAAGGTACGAAAGAAAAGATAAGTAAGGCCTGGTCTTATTAGCAGCTGTCTGATCACTAGCCTTGGATTAAATGTGGTGGGTTCAGCCCCTGACAGACTTCAGGTCCCCCACCAGGCAGTCTTCCTGAATCCCACCAGGAGTCCACTGGTCCATGACTTGACCATGGTGATGGCCAAGAGTTGGGGCTTTGAGGAGTCCACAGTGTTGGACACCCACAGTAGTGGACCCTGGTAGAACCAGGGAGCCCAACGAAGAGGGTCCTGCATGAATCAGAGGGGATTGTGGTAGGTTGGACTTGGCAGGGGAAGTTTGGGGAAGTCATAGGATTCTGAATATTGTCAAACAGTAGAGTGAGGATTTTATGATCGAATAACTGATGTGCATTTCACATAGACATGTTTTTGCAGGTGGTTTTCAATGTTGGGACTCAAACGTAAAGACACTAAAGGACAGAAATCTTTGGCAGAGGTAAGATCTTCTTCGGTCACCATACTTGAGTTAACTGTAGGGAAGTGGAGGTTTCCATCTGGAATTCTATAGCTTCTTCCAGGTCATAGAGTCTACCCCCCACCTTCTGGTGTCTCCAGATATGAAGCATGAATGAAAATGGGAAATTTCCTGGCCTTCCTTCTTCTCAACTTTCATGTCTGCGTCCTTTTGCTTCAGCTGCTCATGCCTCACTCAGGTAGGGAATGATTCCACACTTGTTTCTGAAGCAGACAATTACCTGATTATGTCCTCATAGGACTTTTGACTCCTTCCCATACCTGAAGTCCATCCTGACCTGAGGGTTCACGTGTCACTAAGAGACAAATGGTGCTTCTGTTAAGATTGGTTTCCTCTAGGTCTTTTTTTTTTTTTTTGAGATAGAGTCTCACTCTGTCACCCGTTGGTGCAGTGGACATCTCAGCTACTGAAGCGGCGCCTTCTTCGGGTTCGCGGGCCATTCCTGCTAAGCCCTCTGAAGTGCTGGGATGCAGGCGTCAAGCCAACGCAACCCGGCTAATAAATCTTGTTTTTTTTTTTTTTTTTTTTTGAGGCCGAGTCTTGCTCTGTCACCCAAAGGTGGATGCCAGTGCCGGATCGCAGTTCTGCAAGCTCTCTCGGGTCACGCTTCTCCTGGCCTCAGCCTCCCAAGTAGTGGGATACCGGCCACCCGCACCTCGCCGGCTAGTTTTTGTATTTTAGTAGGATCGGTTATGTAGCCAGGTGTCTGATCCCTGCTCGTGAATCCGGCCATCTTGGGCCTCCAAGTGCTGGGATTACTCGGGAGCACGCGCCCCCCAGCTCTTTTTTTATTTTTAGTGTTGGAGTGGGTTTCTTTTTTTTTTTTCTTTTGGAGCGGCAGTCTCGCCTGCCGCCGCAGGCTGGAGTGCCAGGGCCGGTCTCAGCTCACGCAAGCTCCGCTCCCGGGTTCATGCCATTCTCCTGCCTCAAGCCCTTCCCGAGTAGTTGGACTACAGGCGCCCGCCACCTGCGGCCTGGCTAGTTTGATTTGATATTTTTAGTAGACGGGGTCTTCACCGTGTTAGCCAGATGGGTCTCGATCCTTCTGACCTGCGTTGATCCGCCCGTTTCGCCTCCCAAAGGTGGGATTCAGGCTTGAGCACCACGCCCGGCGTGGAGGTGGGGTTTCACCACGGTCTCGATCTCCTGACTTTGTGATCAGCCCTCCTCGGCCTCCCAAAGTGCTGGGATTATAGGCATGAGCCACCGCGCCCAGCCTCCCCCTAGATTCTTGGTATCTCGCCTTCCCTGTCTGAGAAACACCCTTCCTCTCATGACCCCAACTCCAACACCCTCTGACAGATCCTCCCCCTTGTGCCAACAGCTCAGTTTGCTGTGGTTGGACCGCCTGGGCCCATCCTGGCCATGGTAGGTGAAGATGCTGATCTGCCCTGTCACCTATTCCCAACCATGAGCGCAGAGACCATGGAGCTGAGGTGGGTGAGTTCCAACCTAAGGCAGGTGGTGAACGTGTATGTAGATGGAAAGGAAGTGGAAGACAGGCAGAGTGCAGCGTATCGAGGGAGAACTTCGATTCTACGGGATGGCATCACTGCAGGGAAGGCTGCTCTCCGAATACACAACGTCACAGCCTCTGACAGTGGAAAGTACTTGTGTTATTTCCAAGATGGCGACTTCTATGAAAAAGCTCTGGTGGAGCTGAAGGTTGCAGGTGAGCCTCCAGGTTTTGTTCTGAGAACATTTCTCTGTAGGATCTAGAGCAGATGCAGAGTCCCTCTTGCAAAAGCACTGCAGACACTCCTGGCTGCTCACTAGCAATTGCCTGCACTGCCTTCCAACTTAGCTTGTCTGAGGCCTTTAAGAAAGACACAGGTTTTCCTTTAGGAAGAATTCCTGCTGTGCCCTACATGCTCAAGTAATAAAATCCCTTCTGCTGGCCACCAGAGAAATAAGTGAAGTGAGGGAGGAGGGATAGGAAGCATAAGAAATCATCTCTTCAGTGAGAGGTACACAGTCATTCGTGTTTAGTTGTGTACCAGGTGGCTTCTGTGACCCCACTAGGTACATGCTATTGTGGGCCCTAGAAGACTGGGCTTTCGGGACTGTATCTGCTGCCAATGTTCTCGAGCCAATGACCCTAGAATACACCTGTAGTCATGGGAGCTGTGTTTCTTACTTGTTGCATTGAGGAAGAACACACATCATGGGGAGCTGTGGCGGAGTCTCAGTGAGAAGCTGTTAGAGCCGACTTAGTATGTAATTTGGGCTTGTGTTAGGGGATTTGGGAGGAAGGTTTATAGAACTTTCAGCCTCTGCTCTGGATGAGATGTTGTCAGGAAGGTGTGCACAGGTTGATTCTATGAGTGAGAACCTTAATCAATCTTATCTAGGAAGAAAGAGACTAGGGTGAGACTGAAGCTGTAATTGATGAAGGGACAGCAATCCCTGATTGTCGATGGGGGATGTTTTGGTCATTGCTGTGGTTTGCACAGTGTTCATGTTTTTCTCTTTGCTCACACAGGATGTGGGGTGGTCTTGTTTTTCCCATGATCCATCATAGTCACAAAGTGCCATCATCTGATGCTGGTGTTCTGTGAAATCCCTTTTGTTCAACAGGAGGACGCTGAATCCTGTTGTTGCTTCCAGATGAGGGGGCTGCCCTTTTCTTTCTCAGTGCAATCCTTTTCCCTGTGGCTTCTGTTTAAGGGTTTGGTCAGTAGGGATCTGTAGCAGATGCAGAAGGGAGGGAGAGAAAATAGAGGTCTGGGTGCTTACTCCCTGGCTTCCTTCCTGCAAGGTACCCTCGGCCTGACTGCATTGCCTTGCTGAAGGTCACTGTCCCTCTCAAGAAAGTCCTCAATGCATAAATATCTTCTTTTATGTCTTCAAAACAGCTCCCTCTCCTCCTCCCTCTGGTAACTGGAGTGGGTGGGAATAGCCCCACTGCCACTGACCCTGGGATACTGCACTCATTCATGTAGCTTTCTCCTCACCAGGACCACACTTTTGTAAGCAGCTCTGAAATGAAATTCTTCTTGAATTATGGAATGTGAGCGTGCCTTATTCCTTTTGAGACCCTCTCTGATACAGGAGCTCTCAAGAATTTAGGCTGATTCATCCTTCCACAGCACTGGGTTCTGATCTTCACATTGACGTGAAGGGTTATGAGGATGGAGGGATCCATCTGGAGTGCAGGTCCACTGGCTGGTATCCCCAACCCCAAATACAGTGGAGCAACGACAAGGGAGAGAACATCCCGACTGTGGAAGCACCTGTGTTTGCAGATGGAGTGGGCCTGTATGCAGTAGCAGCATCCGTGATCCTGAGAGGCAGCTCTGGGGAGGGTGTTTCCTGTACCATCAGAAGTTCCCTCCTCGGTCTGGAAAAGACAGCCAGCATTTCCATCGCAGGTCAGTACCTGCTTGCCTCAGATTTTCTGAACTGAGCTGTGGCAGTTGAATGAAGGGGGAGGTGTTAGTGTCTGCAGTCAACCTGGGTCTCTGCACTGAATATAAGGCCCAAAACACAGACTTGGAGACTCCTCCTTGCACCAGGGGAGCTTCTCTCCTCCATAAAGCTGTTCAGGACACAAACATTTACTGAACATTTTCTGTCTGCCAGAAAATGTGACAGGCAATGGGAATTGGGCAATAATTGTTAACATAAGCTGCTTATGTAAAGTCAAATGACAGAAAGGGAAAACATGTATGTATGTGTGTGTGTGTGTATATATATATATGTGTGTGTGTGTGTGTGTGTATTTACAAACCCATATCATAGAGAAAGAGCTAATCTCCTTGAGACAGAAGATTTTAAAAACTGAGTAAAACATTTTAACAAAGGTCATACATTGTTTAATTTACAGAAAAGGAAATAACCCACAAATGAGTGCTCATTCTCACTCATTAGAGAAACATACTGAATCATTTTTCACTTATAGCATTGGCAAAAATCAAAACAAACATCTGTTGGTTGATAACACATGGTTATGGCAGGAATGTAGGAAGACTGTGACTCCTAGGCATATGCAGGGATGACTTGTATTTTTGGTATGCATTAGCACAACCTCTATTGGGGACTACATAACAATATCCAAACTACATCTTTAGTAATCCAAAATTCTGCTTCTGGGAATTGATTTGGTAGATAAACTTGCATTTGTGTGAGTTGATCCAGGTAAAAAGTTATTTTTTATAGCACTGATTATGACTGCACAAGGTTGGAAACTATGCAAATGTTCACTGCTGGGGAACTTGCATGCAATGGATACCACTCAAGTGTGAAAGAAAAAAGAGAGAATTCTCTCTATACTGAAGAAGAAAAACCTCCAAGATTAACTTTGCACAGAAAGAGCAAAATGCAGAGTGGTGTGTACGGAATGCTATCTTTAGTGCAAATGAGAGGAAAAACAAGCATATATTTTAATTTACACTTTTAAGTTAACAAGCAGTGTCATAACACCCACTAGGTGTCAGGCACTTTATAAGTTTTAATTTAATCCTTCTCACTTCAGGAGAAGGGCAGTAGGAACAGAGAGGTTAAGTAATTAGTCTAAAGTCACACTGCAAGTCACCTAAAGGAGCCAGCATTGACACCCAGGGCCTCCAGCTCCAAAGTTCCTGTTCTTAAGCATCATATTAAGTAGACTAATTTGAAGTCAAAAAAGGGAGGGTGGGAGGGAGGACTGGGTGGATGGGAGACTTGTGTGACTTTTTATACATGTATTTTTGAACCATGTGCATGTGTTACCTATTAAAAAGTTGAATTAGAAAAAAAGTGTATGATATTCTCTAGTCACTCACTTTCCACATGAGAGGCAGACATCTCAAGAGATGGAATAGTAGCAGCCTCTAGTGGGGGTTTATCAAAGTCTTACCCACTGTCCTCTGAGATTTTAGGATGAGAAAGATTATTTAACCTTGTGAGATAGATTCCGTGCCCTGTGACCTGGGGTGAGCAGCTAACACCTGGGGTGCTGCAGTCTGGGGAGGCTGAGTGCACTGGCCCCCATGGCCCACAGCCCTTCCCTTCACAGGCCCCTTCTTCAGGAGTGCCCAGAGCTGGATCGCTGCCCTGGCAGGGACCCTGCCTGTCTTGCTGCTGCTTCTTGGGGGAGCCGGTTACTTCCTGTGGCGACAGCAGGAGGAAAAAAAGACTCTGTTCAGAAAGAAAAAGAGAGCGCAAGAGTTGAGAGAACTGGCATGGAGCACAGTGAAGCAAGAAAAAAGCACAAGAGGTAGCTGACCCCAGAGTTTACCTGAGCCCCTGGCTTACAGGCCAAAGCCCAAAGACCTCATACCCATCCCCACCCCAGAGCTGGGTTGTTTTTAAGGTTTATTTTTTAGAGAACTCCCTCACCTGTAACAGTTCATTATTTTTTCTGCTTATTTTCCAGAGAAGCTCCTGGAGGAACTCAGTAAGTTCCCGTTCCCCCAGAGACCCAGACATGTCTTCCTGTCCCTGCTTTATGAGCCTTGATGCATCTTCCCTGTTCCTTCCATTGCAGGATGGAGAAGTATGCAGTACACGGTTTGTAAGTGACTGACATTTTCTCTGATTTTGAATCTTTAACTGTCTGTGCTTGAATAGTTTCCACTCTTAACTTTTTCCCCAACATTAGGAAGTGGTCTTAGATCTCTTTGACTAAGGAAAGAAAATAAATGTGCCAATTCCTAGTCATTGCCAAAAAAAAAGAAAAAAAGGAAAGAAAGGAAAAAAGAAAAAGAATGTGACTCATTGGAATAACACCCAGGAGAAGTGTTTCTTTTTCGCTCTCTTTCTCTCTCTCAACTGCTCTCCAAGAAAAGATGCCTTCAATTTATCTCTACCAGGGGCCACAGACTCTATAGCCCTGCAAAGCACTGAGGAATATCCAGGGGCACACTTGTAAAGGAAGGGGGAAGAGGTGGATCAAGTGCATTCTCTATGGTAGGAACTTCACTCGTCATTTTACATAATCTATAGGCTCCAGAGAAGACAAAGAAGAACAAAAGATAACAAAGAACAAGAAAATCAGAAAAGAGAGAGGGAGAAAATTGTGTCTAATAAACAAGAGTGGCTTGAATGGTTTCTCAGTTGGTACCAATTTATTCTAACTGGCTTCAAAAACTAGTTCCTGAAATTGCTCATTAAATTTCCCAAATTCTTTTCAGGGTAAGGTAGGAAATTACAGATTTAAATAGAAGGATCTTGCATACACACACACACACACACACACATATATATATGCATATAGACATGGTGACACCTATGCCTAGGTATAGCAGTATAGATACATTCCAAATATATCAGCTGAACACCATCAGGAAGGAACTCTCACAGTGTCTGCCATGTTACTAGCATTTGACTGATGTTCCTGGATTTGATATTAAGAACGACACCAAAGAAAGAATTGAACCTGCAGAGGAGGAAGATACAGGTGGTTAGAAAGAAAGAAAGAAAGAAAGAAAGAAAGAAAGAAAGAAAGAAAGAAAGAAAGAAAGAAAGAAGAAAAGAAAAAGATTAGATTAATGTAAAGTCAAGGGAATAGGGCCAAATTAAACATGGCAAGTTAAGGTGACATCTTTACCTTTCTTTCATTGTAGTGGGAGAGAGACCTTCAGCCTATAATGGTGAGTGAGCCTGATGCTCTCTGAGTTTGCTGGGACACGTGCCATGAACATTTCAACCTTTTCTCTGCTGTGACCCACTGATGTTCTCATTTGCATGAATCAGATTTAACCAAAAGACTCAATTTCTCTATGGTGGGGGGTTGATTTCTGCTTTTCTGGAGAATCTGAGAGACTCCTGACCCTACACACCCCCTTGCAAAGCCTGGCCATGCAGCCTGTACCCTTCATGACAGAGGGAACAGAGCCCACCATTTTTTAGAAAGTGCCATCTCTGATCCATCAGAGTTGTAGAGAAGGGAGGGTGGACCCTGGAAGAGATTCACAAGAAAAGGAGAGAAAACATGTAGTGAGGAGAGAATGCAGTGGGGAAAGTACAAAAATACTGACCTTTTCCTTATCTGTGTCTCCTTCCTTTCAGAATGGAAAAAGGCCCTCTTCAAGCCAGGTGAGTAAATCACTGTATGTTCCCTGGACCACCAACCTGAAGGACTATATTCCTTTTCCTGTTTACTTCTCCAACTGTTGTGATTTGGGGAAGAAAAGCTCCCATGACTAGGAATTTGGGGTAGGCAACAATAAATTCCAATCTGAAGAGTGGACCCATCTCCAAGACCCTTCCCACTGAGAGCCCAGGGAACCAGGGTGATTAGATATCTTGGGATTCCTCAGACCTTCCTGGAAAGGAAGACACAGAAAGGGTGGAGCTGAGGGGAAAGAGGCACACACTGAGTGATACTGCAGGGAGAGTGAGGATGGAAATGCCAAGGAGAGGAGGCAATGGCTGCCCAAAGAACTTAGTCCTTCCCAGACTTCTCATGCCACCTACTGCCAGTGCCTCCTCAAAAAACCTAATGCTTCTGAGCTTTGGCCTCCATATTTTTAGGTGATGATTTCAATCTGTGTTTGTGGGGGTTGAGGTGAAGACTGAAGGAATAATACATATCCATTGGTCAAAAACCTAGTAAGAAGGAGATGATAAATTCAAACTGGGTGGCTGAAGAAGGTTTGCGGAAAGGAGGGTTAAGGGAAAGCAACAAAGAAAAGTGCAGTGCCCCCATGGTTCCCAACAGTGGGGAGCTGTCTCCACCCCTAGCCTGGGAGGGGTAGGGAGGGGAGGCAGTTACTGGAACCCAGAGAAAGAGGTAGCTCAAAGACAGGGCTTCCTGAGAACAGTCATCAGGCCTTGTTAGAGCCACACCAGCTGCTGCAGGCAGAGAGGAAGCAGGAAAATAAACGGTGTGTCTCTCATTTCTTTCTCCTTCCAATCTTCTATCAGGGCCTCCCATTGGCCAAACCCAACAGCAAACCAGAGGACAAGGGAGCCCAGTGGCACTGTCCTTAGAGGGCAGATTCCTGGGGCCCAAAAGAGTGTGGAGAAAGTTAAAGGGTGAAGAGTGAATCTAGGTCATATAAGGCCCCACATAGAGCCCAGCACAGAGACAGCCTTGCAGCTATTAGAACATCAGGAACTTCCTTCGTGCCCTGCCGTGGGCTGAATAAATAACATGATTCCCCTATACTATGCTAGAGATTCGAATTTTTATCCCCATTTTTTCAGGTGAGGGAATGCCTTAGACGAGGCTCCACCTTGTTAAATAAATTGGATGTATGGGAAAATAGACTGCAGAAAAGGGGTACACATTTAGCTCATGAGTGGTCAAATGAAGGTTGAAAATTGACCTCTGATCATAAAGCATTAGTGGGCAGAGTCAATGTGGGGAGGAAAACAAGAAAAACATAGAAAGAGGATGCTTGCTGCTTCCTGAGGCAGCATCAGGGTGTTGGGTTAGGCAGATGCTGAGGCAACTCTCATTTCACCCTCCTCTTCCCCTCTGGATACAAGATACCTGGGGCTTTCTCTCCTGGCATCAATGAGAGAGTCACATTTAGGGAAGGCTAGGGACGCCGGGCTCTGGACTCAGGTCTCCTCAGCACAGCCCAGG